TAGGCCAGTCCGGGAACAATTTCACTGAACCACGAATGAAAGTAAATTAAATATTGAGTTCAATCCAAAGTTCTGACAAAACTATCGCAAACTACTTTTTTTTTTTAGTTGTTGCCCTCTTTTATTGCATTTGATCAAACAAGTGACCCCGGTTCAGTCAGAAAAAAATATTTAGATTGGGCCTACAGCACTCTTGGGTCGCTTGCCCCGATATCAGACGCATTTTCATCGACAGCTAATTACTGCATCATCCTGGATACGCTGATTATCTGCTCATAACCCCAAAACATTTTACAGTGTCGATGCCCCACCAAAAAGCATATCAATAACGCCTGTCAGCTCTCCTTTTAATATTTCCACCCACCCGTAAAATTCCCTTCGTTTCACACAGTTATCGTCACACTAAGCAGTAACTGCTCCATAAATTTCACTAATCTTGGCACTCTCCAAACACAAACCATTGGATTAGACGTTGTTATTTGTCTTTTGTGTATCCTACAATTCAAACTGCCATGTTAAACATGTCACAGTACACAATAATACAATGGAAACCAGGCAGGTGCAAGTGGGGAAAGGTTCATATTGTTTATTCGATTTTTCAATACTGCCAACATCCCTTTTTTTGTAAACTAAACTTTCCCTTTAAGTTATTAATAAACTCAAGGTGAAAAATATTTCTGAAACCTGCGTTACATTCCTAGTTATTCATCACTTTTGTCTTCTCGGACAGGGGATATCTACTTTTGGTGGACCCAGCAGAGTAAAACAACAACGACTACAAGAATGATGAGTTCAGTACACCATCGTTAAGGCCCTTTCTAGTTAAAGTCTCAAGGATGTCGACATGTAACGAAAGAAAACAAATTGGAAGTTACTAAAATAGCAGCCGACTTATATCTCAAAGCCATGTTACAACGAACATGGGCAACGTTAAACAAAACTGATTCCATAATTAATTGAGTAAATAACAGAAACGCAGCGCAAATTGGAATGGCGTAGACATGACACAACGAAGTCTTCTGGGGGCGATGAACTGTGTTAGTTGCCGACGATTGGAGACTGTCTCTTCCTCTATCATCAGGAATTGATATGGCGCACGTACAGCCCTGACAATGTAGGCAGACACGATCTCCAAAACGCTCGAAAACTAATTTCATTTTGTAATATCTGAGGTTTTCACAGCGGTGAGTCCGAAGATTTCTGTCTTCTGGGTTGTTGCGCCGTGTAGTCTGGTCGATGTTACAGCGTTTCAGAGGTCATACTGCCTCCGTCATCAGGGCGATTCTTAGTATGAAGATTTCTGTCTTCTGGGTTGTTGCGCTGTGTAGTCTGGTCGATGTTTACCAACGTTTCAGAGGTCATATAACAACCCAGAAGACAGAAATCTTAATTTCATTCTCATCGCACAAGAAGAATTCACTGCACTTAATCGTCGTAAAAGCTTCAAAACTTAAGTCACTATTTAAAGAAACACTAATATAATTTCTTCCTTATATCAAATTCAAAGTCCTCTGCACAGTTTCAAATTAACTGATATTTATGTACTTTATGTTAATATCTTCAATAAATTAAACAGACGTGGACCTAAAACAGCACAGAAGACTGAAATGTGAAACTAGATGTGAAAGAGTTCTCTCTGAGGAAATTTCTCTTCCGAATAAGATTATTTTCCTTCGAATATTCTAGAATGTTAATCATAGTGGCGTATGTAATTAAGTCAACTTATTCAGTTTCTTTCACACTTTCTGTTGGATAAGCCTGTCAAATTATTAAATTTCCACCGCATAATCTTTACCACAAATTGATAATGTCTCTTGTTCCTACGTATGCTCTAAAGTTATACTTTCCCCTCATTATAATTCCATGCGCTAAAGGATGTCCATTTATTTCTTTACGAGTTTATTACCCTGTCTTTGAGAAAGAAAAGTCTTTCTGACAGACAGGGCAATCATCGCCCTGATGATGGAGGCTGGAACGACCTCTGAAACGTTGGTTAACATCTACCAGACTACACGGCGCAACAACCCAGAAGACAGAAATCTTCATATTCACCGCTGTGAAATCGTACAACATTTAAGGCATAAGCTAAGATGTGTTCCTTAACTTTAACTATGTACCGCGTTAATGTGATTGCATCTGTATGCAATTTCGAAGCAATTGCGAATTATACGTTCTCCATAATTGTAGGTCTCTATTAACTGCATATTTTTATACAAAACAGGGTTAAAGGCCACTTATTTCGAGTCTGTAACTCAATAATATAAGAACAATACCTGTTGAATAAGAGCTGTATGAAACATTGTTTAAGCATGTGCCCTACAATACTTAGAACATGCATGTCAAACTTGTCAGTTTATGCGATCTGAAATTTTTTTTGAAGAAAACAAGATAGTCAGCCCCAAAATAAATTTTTTTAATGAATTTTAAGTTGAAATGTCAAGCAGCTATCGTGTACAGTTGTTATATATTCAGTTGCATAAAATGCAAACGTGTTTGAATCAAATTGACGACTTTGACTGCAAATCGTGTTTGATTCGAGATATCAGCCTTGGGCCACGTGAAATATCGAAGGTGACAGAGGGTTTGGCATGTTTGTATTACAGAGATTTGTCTTACCTTGCCGAACTCCGTGAGACCGCCTCCCTTGTTGTGGTCCACTGGAGATGCCGTTGAAGGCGAAGACTCGCTCTGGAGTTGGGTCACCGAACAGTCTGCCCTACCGATAGCCACAGACACTTAGTACAACGCATGCAAGACAAAACTCAGATACAGTGGCACAATTTCAGACGCTGCATTGTAAAGACTGAAAAGTAATAGGAAGTTCCCTTATAAAGAAAGTCGAGAAAACCCAACAACAATCTCAGTTAGAATAATCAGAAACACAGTCGAGATTTCACACGACATTCTGCCTGATTACGAATACAGAGTGCGAAAGGTAAATCAACCCGCTCCATTTTAGACTTTTTAAAAATCTATTCTAATAAAACGTTTTTATATTACAGAAGATAGAATATCGATTTATAACGTGGAAGATTGCACAGTGGAAGAAACTAATAAAATAAATGGTAAATCAGAGACATGCTGAAACAATGAGTAATGACAAATCGGCACCAAGTTCAGGTTGAAAAATACCAGAGAGCAGAAACTTGACAGACATAAATAATATAATATTAAAATTTGTCTTAGATACATTAATTTGTGATTTTGTAGAGTGGATTAAATTGGTTCAGGATAGGGACAAATCATGGGATGTAAACACGGTAATCAGCGTTTCTGTTTCATGAACGTTGAATTTCTTGATCTTCTAAGTAATTATCAACAAAAATAATAATATACAAAATATATTAAGAACAAAAACATGAACCAACTTGATCTTAACCACTTACACTCCACAGTGATAAAATCATCTCGGTCGAGTAGCGGCTTCAATATGGATTCGTAGTCCAACGCTGACGCGGCTAGTCGCCAGAGAAGATTTTATCGCGTTTCGTCGCCGCAAAAGAGTTAAGTCATAACAGACTCCACAGTGTCCACAAATTTATAATAGAAATATTTATAGAACGTATAAAACGTGCATTACTTAAAGTTCGTTTCGAGCTAAATTTATGCAAGCCCATCAATTTCAGGATCGACCAGGAAGTTCGAGGCAGAAAATTCCGTCGGTAAATTTAACTACTCTGACACGATGTTAGCAACCGAGAAGGAAACTTTGCCGAATGTAATGAACATTCCAAGATATACTGATGTACGTTACAGCCTATATATACAGATAAACCTAGCAAAATGTGCATGAGCATTAGGGCATGAATGCGTACAGAGGAATGCAGATGAAGCTATAAACATCAGACTATAGATTTCAGCAGCGGATGGAAGCAGCCTCCGTGTGCCCGAGAAAATAGCCACCGTTATCCGTAAGACAGGAGCGCAGACCGTAACTAATACGGACGTGTTTGCAGACGAAATGAAAAACAATTTCCATCACCGTGAATTGAGCCCTTATAGTTTATGGTTTCATGTTGCCGACTGCATTATCCCGGCGAACGGGTTCCACTGACAGGTTTATTTTTCGATTTTACAGCTGCACCATACTTTTATATAACGCGTCATACCACGAACTCCAAAAATTGAAAATAATATTCCTGTGAAATTACAGAATAACTTACATAAACAAGAACTGTTTTCTTCTAAGAAAGTCTCATGCTTCGCCCTACCATATGACGCTAAGCTAACCTACTCAGTTGAATACGTGTTGTTAAAGTGACCAAAAATCTATTAATTAAATATCTTAAACAACAAGTAATTTATAAAATCCGAATTAATTGTCTACTACAAGAAATAATAGACCTACATTTTAAAAACTTCCTTCTCCGAAAATGTAACAGTACTTTTCCGCTGATAAAACCCTATGCCACATTCTTAGTCCCATATCAAAGCACCCAGAAAACCAACATGACCTATGTAATGTTACTTTCTCAGTCGGAATTTTTACTGCAAACTGTAAAATATTCCCTTACATAAAAGTGGGCACTGTGCAACATATTTCAGTACTACAGCGTTTTTGTGAGCACTTTCTCTCCAAATATATTATTTACGAGTAAGTAAGATGTCACGTTCCATACGCGTACAAAACAACTGTCAAATTTATTGTTTTGTGCTTCAATAGAAAATTACAAAATCGTACCTCTTAAATCGATATGGGGCTATGCTAGTTACAGGCTAAGAAGCTCGATTACTTGAAATGAATATGTCTCTGGGTTTGAGATTCGCACGGCGGGGAATATGCAGATAGCTGTCTGCTGGGTGGAGGCAGGAAGTAACTCTGAAACGTCGGTAAAATTTTACAATATTATACTGCGCAACAACCCAGAAGAGATTCATTTTCGAACAGATGATTATTTTAATAACAAACAATATTAAAGATTCCAAAAGCATATCGGTTTATTAACGTTACTGGCGTCTATCTATTATAATTCGTCATTCTTCTCCATTCTTCATTTCTTCCATTTCTCTTTCTCCCACTGCGTCATATTTTCTATTCCCTTCCTTCCTTTCTTCCTGGAGGTGTCCACTCCAACACTTGTTTGGGCCATCTGTTGTATGCCATTCTTTGGATATGCCCGTGACATAGAAATTGTTCTGGCATAGATATTAATTAGACCCATAATGGAATTTGCTAAATACTGCATGAACATACAGGTTTCCTCTGTAATGACCCCGATATGCAGATTTCATCCTCTCTCAGCGCGTAAATTAAAAACGAGAGGGTCCATCGGTTGTTTGCGAGAAGACGAAGCCACTCTCGTTAATTATTCGCGTTAACGAGAATTTTTTGTGCTGTTCGAATCAATGATCGATGCTGTGGTTCCTGACTGAAGGAAGTTAATTGCTTGAATTAAGAAAATCGTTAAACGAATTTTAAAAGCAATTATCCAAAAAGAAAATCTGGGAAGAATATTTTATTATAAATTGTGTTGAGGAATTTCGGGGCCCAAATACAGCAAAGCTCACACCATCGTTATGTTTTTTTTCATTAACACAAGGAAGAAATTTTCTACACAATACAAATTTATAACGTATTTCCAAAAACCACTAGCAACATTTCGTCAATCAGCATGAAAAAAGAGAAATATATAAATTTCTGGTGTCACCTACGATGATGTATTGAATCCTAAATATACTTTCACAATTTCAGGACGTTTCAATTCTAATGTGGTTTCTCTTTCTGAGCGATGGCTCTGTATAGATATAGGACGTTTCAGAATCTTACTATCTGTAACAAAGTCAAGTGGAAATATGAATCTCCGAAACGTCGTCAACAGTTCACATCTACACACTACCATTACCTAGAAACAAGATTCTCACTCAAAAGTTTAATGCTTTATAAGTTTTGTTACTACACTGTCAGGATCTTGTACGCAAGAATGCGTTAGTGTCGCTTCCACCACATAAGTTCCCAAGGAAATCACGTAAGTATAATAAATTAAAAAATGCAAATATTTTATTCTTATTGGAGTCATAATATTTATACCGAGTTTCTACGAAAATTCATCAGTTATACCAAAGCTACTCACATGGGCAAACGGACATGATAAAGTCACATGCTTATTCGTCTTTGTAAAATTTCAAAAAACAGGCTAGAAATTGCAGCTCCATACGGAATTCTTCTGCCTTGAACGTGTTCGTAGTTAGGTACTGTTAATTTGCACATGTCACCTCGGTTGTTATTAAAACCGTGAACGTACAACCGGTATACACAAAGTATAACAATTAAAAAAAAACAGCGTAGTTTTACCAAGAGAAGTTCACCCATCCATAAAATTACGTCTCAGCACGTAGTGAGAGAGCGTTAGAAAAGAGAAAAGAGAGATGTATATATAATATAGTAACATAGGTGGGAAAAATCATTAAAAGGAGTGCGTGTTAAACAGGAAATTATTTGGCAGTTTGAAGTCTTCGTGTTTATGGAAGGAAAGAAGACCTGAATAAAAAGAGATAAAAGATATTTTATAAGTAGGTACCAATACAAGAACAAGAAGAAAATAATATACCGTTAACGAAACACAGTTCGAAGATTCCCCTCTCATTTACATAGCAAAAATGTTCTTTCTTCTCTTACTTTGACTCCGTCATCTGTACATTTTGATCCCTCACATTACTTCCTTCGTTTACCCCTTTTATGTCAATAGGCGACGGTGTGTTTGCCCCTTTTATGTCAATAGGCGACGGTGTTTTGTTTAATTAATTTTCTTACAGTCTTTCATATTAAAATTTATTATGTTCTGAATAGAACATTTCCATAAAATAACCTCGACGGCGCAAAAATTATAGTGCAGATGAATTTTATGAAATATAAAATCACTTGAATGGAAATAGGTTCTGGATTTTAATACTGTGTTAATTTCGGAACAAAGTATCTTTTATAAAATGCAAAATGGTGTCTGATTATTGTGAGTAAATAATTTAAATCGTACGTCAGAATCTTCGACATAAATTCCAAAGAACATTTTCTGCAGAAGCGTCAAAATCACTTTTGAATAAACTTTTCGGGAAGAGAAATCTAGACGAAACTCACTGTAACAGTCACACACATTGCCTTGAGCTGCAGATGACGGGGGGAGTTTATTTTTGAATTTCAAAAAGAAATTTCAAATATTAGCAGCATTATTAGAATACCTAAATCTTGTACGCTAAGATGAGGACGGAATGCGACTATAATGGGGTAACTTTCACGACAGTGTTAACAGATATTGTCCATTTGAAATACGTAAATAAAAGGATAACATTTTGATTTTAGCGAGAAAAGTTGTGAAGAACGGACACGCTTAAAGTAGTGTCTGATAACTGAAATTGTTTTCAGCAGTGTTAGTTTTATTTATATTGTAAATTTATAGCTGCTGAAGCTAAGTTTCATTTGCACTTGGCCGGTCGATTTGTTTTTTATTTTATTAGAAAGCGACCCATTAAGAATGACGGTAAAAATCTATAGTATTTAAAAAAACGTATTGGAAAGTCTAACAATAGTATCCACTCCACTGATCACACGTGGAAAGAACATGGGCCCCAAAGCGTGGTTACCTTGTTTCTTACACGACTTTGGAGTCCTTGAACAGTCACGTTTGAATTATCACCGATCAACACAACGGCCTATATTTCAGCATATACAGGGTGATTCAAAAAGGACTTTACAACTTTGAAAGTGTATAGAAATTTGTTCAGAAGGCTTACAGAATCGGTTGAGGTGTCATTTTGTAGCAAAATAAATCATGTTTTACTTCAAACAGTCATTTTGGTTCGATGTGATTGCCATTGGTGATACTGCAGACATCCCACCTGAAATCAATTTTTTGCCAAACACGATCCAGCATATCCGGTGTCACTTCTGCAACTGAGGCGGTGATTCGAGCTTTGAGCTCAGTGAGATTGGCAGGTAAGGGTGGAACATACACATGATCTTTAATGAAACACCATAAGAAAAAACTGAGAAGTGTAAAATCTGGAGAACGAGGTGGCCATGCTATCGACCCTGTTCGACCAATCCACCAACCTGGGAAACGGTTATTGAGGAAATCCCGGACTTCTGTGAGGTAGTGAGGTGGTGCGCCGTCTTGCTGGAAGTGAATGCGTCCTTTTTGGTAATTTTTGTCTAACTGTGGTATGAGAAAATTTTCGAGCATATCCAGATACACGATACCGTTGATGGTGCTCTCATGGAAAAAGAACGGGCCGTACACTTTAACTTTGCTAAGGGCACAAAACACATTCACCTTTGGGCTGTCACGAACGTGTTCCACAACAGCACTAGAAACACGCGGGCGACCTGGAGATTTGTCATGGCGAACAGAACAACCAGTCTCAACAAAATTCTTGTGCCAAGAGTAAATTGTAGGTCTACTGGGAGGATCCTTGCCATATTGGGTGCGAAAATTTCGTTGAACCATTGTCGCAGATTTCTTCAAACCACAGCACACAGCGAGCGCGCTCCGCACCTGTGAAAGTAGCCATTTTCAAATGCACTGCCGCTTGCGCTCGCGGTGACTGAATTCGGTAATACAGCACAAAGTGAGTCAAACTTGATTTATTTTGCTACAAAATGACACGTCAATCGATTCTGTAAGCTTTCTGATTAAATTTCTATACACTATCAAAGTTGTAAAGTCCTTTTTGCATCACCTGGTATAATAGAGAATACATTACGTTTATCGTCATAATTTTAATGCATAGTCAAGGCCCTCTGAATTTATTCTGGTCAATGAACAATCAATTTCTGAAAAAAACAATTTAATCAGAAGGGAAGAAATAAATCGATATTTAAGACAAATCTTTTTGCATTTCGAAGAAAACTGTGGAAGATGCATAGGCTTACATTAGAATGCAAGTCGTTCGATTGTCACTTAATTAGAAGAAAATCGAAATATTAAATAGGTGTTAATGGATACATTTTATGTTTAAGGGATGGGCTTGTGTTTATACATTACCCGTAGTCTAGCAGTGAATTTTAAAAAATGTTCATCAACCAATCAACACTTGTCTATTACACGGACATATTTAGCGGCGTTCGAATGAGACTGAAAACACGGAAATCTGGGTCATGACAGCTGGTCTGCAAGTTGTCTAATCGGATATCTGCAGATAAAAGTCAAAAGCCTGGTCCTTAGTTTATT